GATGGATGCAAGACTTCAGCATAAAGTATGGCCTCTCAAAGAGAACAGAAAACATTGCCATCAGCCCAACTGAGCTGTAAACAAGTGTGTCACCTGCCCAGGTTCTTGGGAAAGTGGGTCTCTCGGTCTCGCTGTGAAACAAAGATTCAGGTTCAGGTAGATTATTTAAAGGGGATCCCCAAAAGCACAGTGAGTAAAGGCATAGAAGAAGCAAGCTCAGTTCTGCCAGGCGTCTCTGGGAGTTTCTGTAGAATACATTTTGAAATCATCCCCTGAGTGTGGGGGACAAGACACTGACAAACCATTCTCATCTCCTAATGGTTGGGGATTGCTCTGTGGATTTTAACTTTCCTTCTGCTTCCAGATCTCAGCCAGGCAAGTTCTTACAAAGCAAGAGAAAATGCTCAGGAAGAAGTGAGACAAAGTCTTGAGGCAAGAAGCTGCCAGCTGCACCCCAGGAAATGTCTACAGCTAAAGAAAAACTCAAGTGGACAAGGTAGGAATTTACCTGGCCCTTATAAGCGTGCACATACCATGGCATTCTCTATGTGATGTAGAAATCCTTGGTCAGGTAATTAACATAAATGTGCAGCTCTTGAGGATTAGCAGGATGAAAAACAGCAACACTGTGTAAAGACAGAATCCACTGCCAAGAAGGGCTGCTGGCCTCAAACACCACTTAGTCCATGAACTGGGAGTCAGACAACTGAAAGTTACCAGTAGAAAGAAGATAGCCCAGCTTCAGCAAGGGGGTGCCTTCATCTGGATACAGCAGTTAAAACAAGCACCTCATCAAAGTCAGTGTCATAGGAAATGCTCTTTTCCCCTCACCCCCTTAACATAGTTAAAAAGGAGTGAGAGAGCAGGAAAGTGTATGGAGATGAGGGAGCGCGCAGGCCACGTCTACTCTGTCAGTTCAACAAATACCAGATGAACAAAAAGGGAAACTTTGAAGTAAATATAAAACTGAAGCCTAAACAGGGACTGGAATAGAAACTGGGACTCTTGTGCATAGGTACAGCAGAAAACTGTATGGTAATTCAGCTAAAGATTAAAAGTAGACTTACCAGGCCAGGGATGTAGCTCACCGGCGCTGAGCCTGCCTTGCAAGTGCAAAGGTCTTGAGTTTGATCCCCAGTACTGCAAAATAAATAAATAAATAGATAGATAGATAGATAGATAGATAGATAGATAGACAGACAGACAGACAGACAGACAGACAGACTTAGCATTTGATCTACGAGTCCACTTCTGGGTATATTTCCCCACAAACTGAGAGAAGGATCTCTGGGTATCCGTACACCCATGTTCTTTGCAACATTATTCACAACGGCTAAAACATGAAAGCAACTCAAATGTTCATCAACAAACAAATGAGTAAGGACAATGCAGTCTAAGCTCTAGCTGAATACCATTCATGCTTGAAAAGAGAAGAAATTCTTACACACGCTGTAACACGGGTGAACCTGGGGGACATTATGTTTAAGTGAAATTAACCACTTCAGAAGGGCAAATACTGAATGTTCCCACTTAAGTAAGGGACCCAGACTATTAAAATCAGAGACAGTAAGCAGAATGGTGCTTGCAAGAGAGAGAGAGCAGAAAATGGAGAGTTCGTGTTTAAGGAGTGCAGAGATTCAGGTTTGCAAGAAGAAAAGAATTTTTGAGATGGATGGTGATGGCTGCATAAAAATATTAATAAAGTTAATACCACAGAAGTGTACAATTAAAAATGGCAATCTTGGTGCAGCGGCCCACTCTTATAATTCCAACTACTTAGGAGGCCAAGGCAGGAGGATCACAAGTTTGAAGCCAGCCTGGGCCACAGAGTGAGACCCTGTTTCAAAATAAAATAAAAAAATAAAATAAAATGGACTGGGGAATAGAACTCAGTGGTAGAGCGCTTGCTTAGCATCCATAAGCCCCTGAATTCAACTTCAAGTACTCCCTCCACACACACATACACACAAAGGAAAAGTTAGTACATTTTCTATTATGTATATTTTACCACAATAAAAACATTAGGAAAAACATGGACTGCTGATAAAGCGATTTGAGTAGCCCAAGGACACTGCAAAGTTATAGACTGCAACTGACTTAGCAGGTAGCAAGAAGACAAGGGTAGAAAATGTAAATTCCTTGCAGTAGTTACTAGGGAAAATCAAACCGTTTCATGTTTATTCCTCAATGAGAACAGCTTTCTCAATTATACAGGCTCTAGTGGCAATTCCTGAGATCTTTTACAAATCAGATGAAACTCTCCCTTATCTGTGTCTAACATTTATCCTCACATATGCATGCAGGCACTTGGAGCTGAGCAAGGCCCCCGTGGCTGGCGACATCTCAACATTGCCAGAATACAGAGCATTTAAACAAGAATATTTCTTGGCTCTGCTGAGAATCAAAGTATCAATAACAATCACAGTTACAAAATCTCACACTTCTATTCCATTTTCTTTCAGGAGTTTTAAAACACTTGGCAGACTTTTGGTCATTGGTTTGTGTACGCATACCATCCTGGGGGTGCGGGTGAAGAGGAGTCACAAATTCTAGATGCATCAGCCCAAAATCTGACATGCCGTAGTAAGATCGCTGATATTATTCAACAATGATTGAGACCCGTCTCAATCATTCATGACCTGGGCCATACAACTGTCCTGCAAAGTTGAGACATGAAGTCCTGTCAAGATTTCCCAAGGCAGCAGTGGTCAATGAGCTGCCATATTGGTCCTCTGCCTTTGGTCAAAGTTGCTACTTCTCAATGACTTGGTTCTTACACCTTCTGTGGATGCATGAGAAGACTGTCAAGGCCCCTAGAGAGCAGTGAGGGTTATAGTCAGTTACGGTCATAATTCCACACCCTTTTCCTTTGCCACACAGAGCAGTAGTCCTTCCAATTAAAGTACTGAGAAAATGCTCCAAATATTTTCACTTTCCAGAAGCACAAAGACAGAGATGAATTTAAAGGGGGGAAGACTCTCCCACCTGCTCTCTCTTTAGGGCCTTGGCAAGGGCTGTTCCATCTGCCTGAAACACACTGTCCCCCAGATTGTAATTTCCAGAAAAGTAAGAACTGTTTCTGCTTGTGCTCACCAATGTATCTCCAGAGTTTGGCACATTTCTCGGTACATAGTAGGTACTCAATAAAAAATTTGGGGGGGGTACCAGGGATCGCACTCAGGACCTTGTGCTTGTGAAGCAGGCGGTGGAACCACTGAGCCAAATCCCTGACTCATAATTTTTTGTTTTTGATTTTTTTGGTACAGGGACTGAACTCAGGACTTTGAGCTTGCGAGGCAGGCAGTGGAACCACTAAGCTAAATCCCCAGCCCTCTCAATGAATATTTTGACAATAATATTTGATATTAAAAGAAATACTTCAATGAATAAATCTACTAATCTTATTTTACTGAGAAATACAAACACATTCAACAAATATTTGTTGAATAAGTTAACCAGTATCTTTAAAACTGGTTTATTAATAGTACCTACAAGAGCAGCTACTTAATAAAGTTATTGGGAGAATTGCCTAAGTTAATGGAAATAAAGCTCCTAAGCAGCGCCTGGCACATAATAATAATAATAGTAAGCACTAAATAAATATTAGTTAACATTAGTTTTGATGTTGTGTCCATAATAAGAAGGTATGTGAAATCATTACCTAATGTGAATTTCTACTTCATCTTCTCTGGTAACCCAGCCCATCCTCCAGCCTATGCAGCATTTATCAGATGTAGAAAAGGAGGTTCAAACAGACCCTTAGCTGTACAACTAAGAATTGGCACATCTCGGATTCCAGTCCACTTCTGTCAGACCCCAAAACACTAGCTTTTAATCCACTTTTTCTAAGCTCATCTACCAATGGTCAGATCACTAGACTAACAGACCCTCAACCTTACTCATTTTGAAGATCAACTTTTTTTTAATGCGTTCCCTGAAGAGAAGGTATCATTTTACTCAGGAGATACCATGATTAGAAAATGATAATTCCATGCCTAGTTAAAAACAAATTTTCTTTTTATATTATAACAAAGACAATGGTGCATTATCGGAAACAATTATCTCTGAACCTGACTTGAGCTGCAGCTAACCAGAAGTTGCTGCCTCAGCCAATATTACTTAAAGATGGTGATTTTGTTGTATGTTGCTTTGTTTTTATTCTCTTGAAGTATATTTTAAAAGTGAATAGGAAACCCCACTGGAAAAATCGATTATATATTTCCATTTTAATGTAAACATTTAGTGTCCAACATTTTGCCTCACCATCTCATTAGCATTTGAATGCAAAGCACCATTCTAGAAATTTATTTCAAAGCTTTCCTTTCTTTTTGCAGGCAGAGAAAGCAAATAGAGCAAAACAGTCACCACAGCCAATAGTTGACTAAACACAATAATCCCAAGGAGAGGTGAGGTTTATGGGGATAAACTATGGATGGAAAATTACAAGATAGTTTTAAATCCGTCTTCTCCAAGGAGCTGCTAAAATGTTTGTTTGAATTTTTAAAGGTTCTTCTATGTCCTATTTTGCAAATATTACATTTCTCCCCAAATCCTTCAACAACAACAACAATAATAATAATAAATGTTGATCTTACAATTTAGGCTGTAAATGACTAAATTTCCTTTTTGATGTTGAGGAATTTCCACCTCTAAGATCAGTAAACAAAGGCCCTTTGTCTGACATCCGCGGGATTTGAAAGTGCCCTTTCCCCATTCCAGTGAGCCCGGACTCTGCTTCCAAAGCTGGGAAAGGCTGTCTGTCCTCTTCCTGAGAAACATGCATCCTTTCTGTGCCTCACCACATCCACCCAGCATGCCAGGTGCAATTGAGGCAATTTAGGCTGAGTGCAAAGTGCTCAATTTCAGGCTGAAATCATGCCAAAGACTCCTTATAAAAGCTACATTCAGTACTTTCAATTCCACATTCCATTCTGTGTGCATTGTCTGCCATTATTACCCAGGATTCCAAAAGCACTTGGCCACATTAAATAAGAGTCAGTAATGAAAACAATAGCAAGGAACTGCTGGAGGACACAGAGCTGGAATAATGAAGAGGGAACAGCCAGAGATGTCAAATGAACTCTGAAAATAGATGTGGCTTAATGAGTGTGGAGAGGTTGGCTTTATCCAAACAGGCAGATTCAACCAGGTAAGAATGTAATCATCACTCTCTATTGGTAAGGTGTACCTTGGTTCAGCCCTTTTGGAGGGCTATTTGGCAATATTTACTAAAACTAAAAAAATGCATGTACCCTAGGGTGCAGAAATTTCTCTTCCTAGCATCTGTCCTACAGAAAAATGCACATTAGATGTGGACAACAAGAGATACACAAAGATTTTCAACACTGAGTTGCCTGTAACAGACAAAATTGGAAAATGATCCAATATCTACCTACAAAAAAATACCTATGCTACAACAAAGAGACCATATCTTTAGCTGAGTGTGTAATAATGTACCCTTGTCCTGTGGTCAGAATGTTCCAGAAACTCCAAGTCCTACGTACATTAAACGAGTTAATCCTTACATCCATTTTGCGGAGCCTCTCCAATTATGCTCAGAGAAACTAAGGCACTGAGGTGTCAAATAATCTGACCAGGATCACATGAATACAAAAAGTCATGCAAATCCAAGCCATCTATCTCTAAAACATATCTCGCTTCTCCAGGATTTTAACAACATATTTTCCTTTTGAATTTAGAAAGCAAGTTGATATATACAATATGATAGGATTTTTGCTTGTATGTGCACATATGCACACATATGAAATTATACTATATATTCTCCATACATGCTTTTATTATAGCACAGGGAAAGGTATAAAAGGATATACTTTAGAGGAAGGGGGTAAGAAAAGGATAGAGACCGAGGAAATAATCAAAAGAGGTTTGAGCTTTACCTATAATGTTTGCATTGTTTAAAAAGGTAGATATGGCCATGTATTACAGCACATGTGTAATTCAAAAATAATAGTAATTTTTAAAAAATTGGATCATTCAGAAAAGCTTCCCCGAATGAGTTAAGAGATACCGGAAATGAGCCAGGCAGGAAATGTTCACTAGATTCCACATGTGTGGTATTCTGTAGCTCACAACTGGTTACACCAACATTGTCCCTTTCCATCTTCATGACAGCCTTGAGAGTCAGCTCTCTCCACAAATTTGACAAAGGGAGACAAAATGGCTGCTGTTGAACAATGGTGGACTCAAATTCTTTCTTGACCTTAGTGCACAGTTCCTTCTCCATCACAGAAGCTCCTCTGGAACCCACACCAACCCCTACAAGAGAAGATCTGGCTGTTTGGCTCAGGGCCCAAGGTATGTGATGCTCACAAAATGGCTTAGGGAAGTGTTCCAACATATTTTAACAATGTATTTTCCCTTTGAATTTTAAATAAAACACACTGTAAGATGATACATACAAAATGATAGGATATGGCGTTTGCATAGACACGCACGCCCACAATTTGGATGGAGAGAAAATACAAAAATAAAACCAGCAGTGAAAATGTCAGAGTGAAGAGTCAACTGGATGTGACCTCAGCTCTGTCATTATCCAACTTGTTATTTTGGGTGAGATGGGTGACCTCCCTAAACTCTGATTTTCTCAAATAAAGAATGACTGAGTGCCTTTGAAGATTTTTTTTTTAACAAGTATAAGGTAGCTAGTATATGAAGAGTTTCTGTCACATAAAAGTGCCTAGCAAATGGCAGCAAATTTTTAACTCATGCAGTCATTCAACAAGTGTTTGTGCCAGACACTGTTTTAGGCATGGAAGATACATTTAGAAATATGACAAGTAGGGATGGCAATTTAGCTCAGTGGTCCCACCACCTGCCTCGCAAACACAAGGACCAGAGATCAATCCCTGGTACAAAAAAAAAAAAAAAAGAAAGAAATATGACAAGTAAAATCCTTGCTCCTATAGGATATACATGAGAATGAAAAAATACGATGAGTCATTAATGAATATCATGAGGTGGTATTAATTGTGAAACCGAGACAAGGTTTTCATGAGACCTATCAATGAAACAATAACAAAGTTGAACAATCTATGAAAGAATGAGAGATAAAAGATTCAAGTCTAGATAAATTTAGGCTTCTGAGAGTTTTTCTTAACAATGGTTAACTAAGGACAACTTTGCCCCTGATGTGATTTGAGTGTTTGTTCCCCCACCAAAATTCACATGTTGAAAATTAACCCCCGATGTGATGGTATTAAGAGGTAGGGCCTTTGGGACATATCTAAATCATCGGGGCTCTGGCTCTATGACTAGGATTAGTGCTTGCATAAAAGAGGCCCTGGGAGATCCATCACTACTTCCATTAGAGGGAAGCACCATCTTTGAATAAGAAAGTGAGCCCTCACCAGACCCTGGATCTTCAGACAACATGATCTTGGACTTTCCAGCCTCAGAACTGCACACAAAAAAATTCTGCTGTTTATGCATTATCCCAGTGTAAGGGATTCTTTTAAAGATATCACCTAAGGGACACTTGGCAATGGTTAAAGACTTTTTCACATATGATTTGAGGTGAGGGGTATCTAGCTGATACAGACTAGGGACACCACTAAACATTTTACACTGTATATGACAGATCCACACCATAAAACATTATGTGTCCCCAAGTGTAAACAGTCCTGAGACTAGAAACCCCTCATACGTGAATTCAGCATCTCAGGGGAGGACCCTAGTCAGAGCTCCTCATCTCTTTCAATGGCAAACATACTTTTCCTTGTGCTCAGACCCAACCTTGAAATCATCTTTACTAGTTTCCTAAGGCTGCTACAAGAAATCATCATAAACTGGGTGAATTCAAACAACAAAACAGTTTCCCAGTTCTGGAGACAACAGGGGTCTAAATGAAGAAGCCAGCAGGACCGATCCTGTCTGAAATTTCCAAGGTAGACTGTTCTATGCCTCTTTCCTAGCTTCTGGTAGTGACTGGCAATTCCTAGCTTGCAGGTAACATCACTGTAGTCTCTGCCTCCAGCTTCACATGGAATTTCCTCTGTGCCTCTGTGCCTCTGTCTCCACGTGGTGTCTTTTTTAAAAAAATCAATTTTCTTGGCACATTTAAGGTATACAATATAACGACACTGATCATTGGAAATTTGCACCTTTGCATAATCCATCTTGGTTCTTATTTTTTCCCCATTCCCCTGCCCTCCTTTCAACCCCTCCCTCCCTCCCTATCTACAAACTTTCTTTCCATTTTTCTCATATTAATCCCATTCCCTTCTTTCCTTCCCCTTCCCTTTGCACCTTTTCTTCCTATTTCACATTATCTATTATGCCTTTTAGTCCTTATTTCACTGAAAGTTTCTCACACCAGAGAAACTATTCGGTGTTAACGCATGGTGTCCTATTTATCTCACTTAAGAGTGCGGCCTCAATGTGCATCCCTTTAGCTAGACATGACGGCTTTTATAAGAACAGTGGTGTCAGCATGTCCTGCTACCTCTCCCTGTAAAGTGTGCCCAGAATCAAACCTGTCTCCCCATGCCCAGTGCTACCACACCAGCCCAACCCTCCATCCCTTCGCACCTGGGCTTCCTTGCTGGTTTCTCTGCCTCCCCTGCACTGTGATAATATTCTCCATAAGATGCCAGGGATCCTGTTCAAAAACAAACCTAACCAAGTCACTCCTCTGAGAATCCTGAGGCTCCCACTGGACCCAGAGAAAAAGCGACATCCTTACCTGAGCCCACAAAGTCCCACTCAACCTGGTCCGTGTTTACTTCTCTCACCTTCTCCTCTATCATTCTTCTTCTGTTCACAAGCACCGCTGGCTTTCTTGGTCTTTCTCAAATCTGCCAAGCTATCTCCAGCCTCAGGACTTTTTATTTGCTATTTTCCCCAGCTGGAAGGCTTTGCTTTAAATCATTTAAAAAACGCTAAAAGATACAAAATAATATTTACAAAAATATGTCGAGTGAATAATAAAGCAAATAGCTGTGAATTCATCATAATGTTTAGTTTTTAAAAGTGTAGACTACAATTCTTTCGGATATCCACGTGAATAACTCCCTCAGATCTCTGCTGAAATGTCAAATGTCACGAGCACCTCAAGCCACTCATGGTACATGGCAGGTGCTCTGTGCTCTGTAGTTCAGGGACAAAACTTGACGTTGCAGTGTTGCAGCTGGATGCGTCAGCACATGGGAAGCAGATCCTCCAATAAACTGTGGACTCCTATTGACCATACTTGCAAGGCTGATGCATAAAATCAGTGTCAATTTATTAATTTACAATGAGTACAGTACCTGTAGAGAGGAGAGACACTGAGAGAGTTGGTCTAGCCCTGTAGGTACGTCACTTGAGAACAATAAATTCTTCTCATCGTTGTTTATATTATAATATCTTCCTTCTTCCCTCCTCCTCCTCCTCCTCCTCCTCCTCCT